GAAAATAGGATTGAAAATTTCTAATTTTAAGTGTGCTCACAATTATTTTTCTATTACTAAAAAGAATGTCAGATATATTACACTGAAATGACATTTTTTCAAGCTATAATATCTGTTAAACAACTTTTAACATTTCTTGACCAATTCCTCCATATAGCTTAGTTTTGTTCTAGGACACACACAAAAAGTGTACAAGTAAAATGAAGTAATTATTGTCCTAAGAATATATTTAATAATTTTTAGCATTGTTCAAAGTTTACCAAGCACTTAAAAGCCAACCATCCTCATATTTTGAAACTAGAATATCAAAAAATCAGAAATGAATAAAACCATATTAATTGTGTAATCTCAAAGAAGATATCTAAGATATTCTAGGATTATCCATATTTCATACCCCGAGGTAGGAAAATCATGTTATAAAAGTTATTCTCCTCTTTTTAAACAAAATGGACAGAAATATCCACTTCCTGAACAAAATATATTCTATTTTGCTTCACATTAATAAGGGAGATTCCCTTCCCCCCCAATATTTACCAATCACAATACATTGGTTTTGTCTTCTATCTATCATATATTTTGTTTTACAGCCATTAATATTTTTTCATGTTGTTTGTGGAGATATGTGAAGTAGAGCAGAGGTCCCCAATCCCCAGTCCACAGACTGGCACCAGTCCATGGCAATCCAGAAACTGAGCCACACAAGCAGGATACAAGCAACATGTGAAAACACCCCCCTACGGTCCGCAGAAAAGCCTCTCTCCATGGAATTGGTCCCTGGTGCCCAAAAGGTAGGGGCCACAGGTAGTAGAGAATAATCCAAATCTCTCCCATGCTGAATGCTATAGATAATATAATTTGTGAATGGGGTAGGTTCCTTTCTTAAAATGTACACAAAACCTAATACAATACTCATGCTGAGTTTTTAAAGTGCCCTAAATTACATGTAATATGTAATATATTTAATAGCATATTAATTATAATATGTAAAAATATGTATCCTGCTACTTACAAACAAATTTCTCTATAATGTGGTTTGGGTTGTTCATTTTACTAAAACCTTTCCATAATATATGATCTACAAAACAGCTCTTAGCTCATAAGTATCTTGTATGACTATCCTTCCAAAATTAGGAAAAAAAATTCTAAAAAAAACCTCAGGCTTTCTGGAACAACAGTTTCTTGCTGAGTCAGACATGAAGCTTCAAATATATCTATTTTTTTCTAACTAAGAATGAAGCCCCATCAGAGCTAGTCTCATTTGTTGTGGACAAAGAAACTTCTTTTTATAGAAAACTAGTTACTTCTCCTTGCTGGTGGTAAGTTCTCCTCTAATCATACTTTATTTTTCATATCATATTTTGATAACGGATCTGTGATCAGGAAAATTAATAGAGACCAGTATCATTCTGCTTTACGCAAGATTTTGCTATATTATTTATGTAATAATTAATTACTGACTTTGATTAACAATTTCTAGCATATCTAGTATGATCTTTTGTTGTTACAGCATAGTTTGAAAGTGAAAAATCTAACATTAGTAATATTCTTCTTGTACATACAGCTCTTTCCTCCACCAATGGATTCATATTTAACTTTTGACTACATCTTCCAATTCTGGATGATTCATTGTAATCATTGTTATCAAAGATTTCAAGTATTTGGATTCACTGAATATCTCTTGAAATGATTTATAAAAAACATAATCTTGTTGATGCAAATATTATTCAAGAAGATTAAAAAATGAGGCTGTATGAGAAATGTATTTCCTACATTTTAGAGGACCATATTCTCACAGAAGAATTTATTGAATGAGAGTAAATTATTGATGCAAACGAATTTAATGTCAACAATGAATGATATCACAACTATTGAGAATCTCAAATTGTGGGAAAGAACCAGGCTCAGGTGGAGCCTTCATAGTTTTTAAACTGTTTTTCTTCACAATTAACAGAGAATGACAGGAATCCTAATAGTCTTATGATAATATAATTAGAGAGTATGAGATCATAATCCTCCAAATGTTATCTGACAGTAAGCCCCAATGAACTAGTTGGATTCTACTTTTTAGTAGTTATACATAACATATATCATAAAACTCATTCCTAAATGTGTTTACTCAGAAACAAGTCCCATTGGCTGTATCCAAATATTGTATTAAGCCATTAGAAGGAAACTGGAGTTACTAAGTCAAAAAATAAATATAGCTTCATGGATTCTCCAAATATACATACAATATAAGAAAAATGCAAATCATTAGAAAGCTCTTCCAATCCTGAGACTGCATACTTTCAGGAATTCAACTTCCTTAAAAAAAAAATCAAATAGTCTTATGCCACCCTAAAAATCAACAGATTTATTACACTAAAGTTTTCATTGACTGTAGTTCACTTTTCCAGATGCAGCTGAAGTGGACTGTAGTCCACAAAAAACATACGTTATAACACATCTGTCAGTCTTTAAGACACCGACTTATCTTTTTATTCTTGTTACTGTGATGGGCTACAGCTACCCTACAGAAACCTTTGCAAAAGGTGTTTACCATAGAACTTGTTTCAAATTCCTTAAAATGTTATGGCCGGGCTTTTTAGATATCCTCAACAGCTCAAGTACTCCATCAGAAAAAGGTGTCCACTGGCAGTTTTTAAACTAATACAAAAACAGGGATCAATGTGGATCCCAGTTAGGAATGAAATACTGTGTGAAGTTCTGATGTCTTTGAAACAAATATCTAAGAAATGTTTGGCTACAATTGACATTTTTACAGACATTTGGTCTGCATTTTCTGAAACATCAGTGATTAAATCCATATTGTTGGCTACTTTCCCCTCTGATCTGCATCTTTCTTTACATCTTGTGAGAAATTTATGAACAAAGTTATTGTTAATCCATACTGTCTGTCTCACCATTTAGATTCTTTTCAACAATCTTACTTTGCCAATATAGATAAACAATCTTCAGCAGGATTAACACATACTACTTCACATTTACAATGGAAAGGAAAAGAAAGGAAACAAGAACCTCTAGTTCTGTTTGATGTCAATCAGAAGCTGAAAATATACACATGCTAGAAATATGTAGATTTCCTCAATTACTATCTAAGCCTTCGGAGTATAATGAATTAAGTGGCTATTTTCAAGAAAGCTGGTTCCTCATAAAATTAGCATAAATTCATATTTTAATAGCTTGCTTTAATAAAGGAGAAAAATATGAAAACAGTATACAGGGTTTTAGCATGTTACCTTATTTTTTATCAGATCTCAAATCAAAGCACTAAAAAACTATAGTATTCAGTATTTGAATTACAGAAGCCATGGGTTCCTTAATTGTAGGGAGGCATTGCAGTATCTGTTTACTAAATACAGTATATACTACAGCCAGTTCTGTCTTAGTGTATAAGATTAGGATCTTAGCCTAAAACAACATAACATGTACATTGAGCCTTTAGTTTTTGAAACGGGATGATTGTAACATACTTGCTATTAAAAGTAAAAAAAAAAGCACCCCTCTCAACTATCAATTATCATTTCATTTGTCTCGCCTGCCAAAGGAATAATATTCACACTTTTTAGTATGTGTATGCTTCCTCAGCAACTATATACCTAGCAGTTCCATGTTCTTCATACTAAACTTGTGAAACTACAATACATAGTTGTTCCCCTCATTCCAATACATTTGATGCGAGGATGAGATGAGATAGTGAAGGAGTCAGTTTTCAGGAATATTAACATTTCTTGCTCAGTGGACAAATCTGGGGAAATAGCTAAATAAAGAGAACCAGGTGGACAATAACTTATGTATCAAGGAAGAAAGCTTTGACATTGGAGGAAGAGGAGAATAATAGCTAGGAAGTGAGAGAATTTGAGGATTTGGTAGAAACCTTTTGGGCCACTTCACTACATGATATATTTAGATTTCTGATAGAGAACAAGGAAGTTGTATGTAAAGTAAAAAGTAAAAAGATGATCAGATGTTTTACAGATTTCAGAATTCCTTGTATCAGTAGCCAATTGAATGATAAATGGCAAGGCAAAGCTATTAAGTTCAGCATAGGGAGCGCTGCTTCCAAGAAGTAATGAAGAACATTTCTAAATTATAGCTAAGATAATAAGCATTCCTTCCAAGGCTAAAAGAGCTTTTTTAGCTTCCCAGAAAGCCTTAGAATGAAGTTGAGGAACTTCTGACCCATAGCATGACACCTGCAATTCTTACCTAAGTTAGTGAATGTGAAGTTGAGAGTCCAATAACATCTGGGGGCGGGGAAAGGGACATAAGTTCCCCAGCTTCTAATTTAGCCAAGGACTCTGTGAATGAAAGTAACTCTCCTTTCTGCCTGAGAGTCATTTTTGAGGATTGCCCTCCAAAGAACTAAAGGGTCTTCAAAGAGAACTTCAGAGACAGGAGGAAATACAGACTCCCCATTGGAAGGAAGTTTTTGTGTCTTGTATGAGAGTTCCTGAGACTGACAGCAAGAATGAGTAAAACAAGTCATTACTATAACACAGGCATGGGTGGGATTCTACAGGTTCGCACCTATTCATTAGAACCGGTTGTTAACATTCTAAGCAGTTCGGAGAACCAGTTGTTAGAAGAAATTACTGGCCTAATCCTGTAAGGAAGGCAGGAAGGAAACATTCTGGTGTTGCTTACAGAAACTGCCTCTACATTAACCCTTATTACATTCTTGGCAGGACTGGACTTCCTGTCTCTGGAACTTCTCTGGAGTTTGTTCCCTGCCTTTGATGGTACTTTGCTTGTGTGGAGTGACCATTCAAAGTTACAATGGCACTGAAAAAAGTGGCTTATAACTATTTTTCACGCTTATGACTATTGCAGCATCCCCACAGTCACGAGAGGCCAGGTGAGGAGATGTGTGCCACTATGTGAGTGATGTTGAGTTGGCCATGCCCAGCCAGTCACATGACCACCAAGCCATGCCCACCAACTAAGCCATGCCCAATTTTTTTTTGTTAAAAAAATTGAATCCCACCCCTGAACACAAAGTTATTTATTGCATGATAGATAGGCAAAGCCTAGTACAGAGCTAACTATATGCTATCAGAATTTGGGGAAGAAGGAAGTTATCTGAGATAAGCAATATTTTAAATCAACAGGCAGGATAATAGACAAAGAGGGGTCCAGAGAAATTCTCTACACTGAAAGGTTGTGAAGTACTCAGGAATCAATGGCACTTACATTACACTTTAATCCTCTGCTTGTTTTTTCAGCTTTTAGTGTTGAAGCAAAGAATCAGTTTTAATTCCATTCAAAGGGGAGCTGATTCACACATTAATATAATTGATTCCTTATCATTTGATTGTACATGGAGAAATGTGAACTTTTTGGACTGAATTTTCTTGATAAGTGAAATGAGAATTATAACTATGCAAATTAATTTGTGTTGTCTCAATTCATACATGCAAGTCTTCACTTGATATTACAACTATTGAGCCATTAGCTCTAAATTTATTCGCAATAGCCTAACTGGTCAGCAGTTTTAGAAGTGAAGGCTAGCATTAAAAAAAGAGAGAAATATCAATATCACTCTTCTTTACATAAAAACAGGCCATGCTTATTATATATAGGATCATCTGTTTTTGAATGCTGATTTGGAAAATATTTCATATATTTAAAGAAGAAATAATTCTAGCCTGCTTTCTCTTCTCTTTTACGCAAATAGATTTTTGTGATCTCACTAGACTTTTCTGGCTATTACTTGCATTTTCTGAGCCAGCTGATTTCTCGGCAATGTTTTAAAGTCAGGAGCCATTACTTTCTAGTCTAACCTGTCTTTAATTTGTCTATTCAGAAGGAAAACTGGAGAGTTTATGGACTTTCAAAAGAGGAATTACAAAGTTCAGTGAAAACAAATGCTGGATATAAACAAAGGATACAGCACAGTTTTATTTTTTGCAGCCAAGATTTTGGATTCCAAATCTTTTTAGATTCCAGTGGAAGTTCATTGCAATCAATGGTAGGTATGTGAGAACTGCATCAGAGCGCATGGAGAGGCTGATGAAATCTGTATTGTCTTAGATTGCTTACATTCTGAACATAGCTGCAGGGTTATTTCTGCAGCTACTTTTAAAAGAAAAATATTTTTGAATTGTTATGTGTTTCAAGGAAAAACTTTTACTGTGGCCACTCCCTGACTTAATAGAATTTATGGATGTCACCATCAGGTCCTTATTATACCTTTCCCACTCACACTACTTTTTGTAGTCTCTATCTTATTTTTGCTTTCCACAGAAATATCACTTAAGCAAGACAAGCTGAAGTAGCTATATATTAGGTTTTGCTGCTAGTCCACAGAGTCACCCTCAGGAGGCATCACTTTTTGAGAATTGAAGGTTGTGAGCTCCAGAATGTTCCTTGAGATTTAAGATCAGGTTCCTAGTTTTCTATACCACTTCACTTCACTTTATTTGAGCCTGGTCTCAAATAAAGATTTTACAAACAAAAATCTTCCTTTGTTTCTATGGCTTAAAGAAAATAATAGAAAATTTGAATGTCTCCTTTATTGAAGTTAAAAGAGTGCAACTGGATGTTGTCCAACTTAGTTGGCAGTCCTGCTATATCATATTCATTTTTTTTCTTGCAAGTGCCAAAAGAATATGAACTCAACCTCTACATTTCATTACAAAAAAATACAGTGGTGAGCAATTGACAGAACAAAGCAGTCATTGTCTTAAAGCACAAATCTTTCTGCAAAGACTGCATGTATTACAAAATAACAAAGTTCAGAACATTAGTGAGATTTTAAGATTATCTAGATCCCTGTTCCTGTATCACTCCTTCTAACACCTGCCTCCCCCCGCCCCCCCAGTCATAAAGACACATAATTTTTTAAATCACTATTTCAATGCTTCCATCTTCTGCATGGGAGAAAATGAGATACGCGAACCTCTCTATTTTTAATATTCACTCAGGTTTGGTCAGTGGCATTTTCTTACTTTTACCCAAACCTAGGTAGTAAAATTCTACTTCCAAATAGGACTTCCAGCCTTTCCTTTAAATGTGTAAGGATGAGCAGCCTGAACCACATTAGATACACTTGGGTTATGATTCCCATTATATTTAAGATTTAAAAGCTTCCATTGAGCTTTAGGCCCTGCTATCTGAGTGGATGGAATAGGTTTTAGAAGGCCTTAAATTATGCTAAATAGTCCTAAAGGCAACACTCTGCTTAAGATACATTTTCTTACAGTCATCCGTATTTTGCCTCCAAATTTAAACTTCTCAACCCTAATTGCAACATACAGTATTTTCAGATAGATCATAATTAGAAATAAGGCAAAATTATATTTTATATTTACCTTTCAATTTTTAGCCCAAGTATATGAATGAAACCAAATGATATCAGTGGACCATATAACATTTGTTCCAGTTTATTGGTAAAGATTTCAGAAATGCCTTCTCCTGTCCTACATTTTCTGTAGGAAAAGGGAAGGTTCCCCCCACCCCCATCTCCAAGTACTCCTACCAAATCATAAATTATAAAACATAATAATTTGGAGTTGTGCTTTCTCTATTCCACATTGTCTTCACCCAGTATTTCATCAGTGAAATATTGATCAAGATGCATCCAGAAAAGTGATCAATTTTGTCAAAGTTATCCAACTTTCATACATATATAGTTGAAGGCCTTCATGGAGAAGCATCTATAAAACAGGAATTCTCTGGAGAAATGGACCTTGCTGATTCTGATTAAGATTTGCAAAGCTACTTCTTAGCTACTTCTGCATAAGCTATTTCAATCTCTTTGTCTGCAGGACAAGTGTTGATGAATTCATCCCGAGCATAAGCATTGTTCAGGTATTGCCACAGTCTTGTCATTTCTGCCGGGAATTCATAATTTCGATATTTCTTTGTTACAATCTAAAATGAAAATGGAGAGTTTTAGGACTTATAAATATTATTGATTTTATTAGACACAAAAGAAAGGAAATAACATTTTACAATGGCATTGTTGAGCTTGATAAAAGGATAGGGTTTTTTTTTGTCATGGAATATGCTTATTTTTGCTTAAAGTTGTTACTTATGGTTTTATATGTTTGTATCTTGGGTTTTAACTTGTTTTTTGTTAGATTATTATGAGCTGCCCAGAATAACCTAAGAGAGATGGGCAGCTATAAAAATACACATCCATACATAAATACATCCATCCATCCATCCATCCATACATGCATACTATAGATAAAGAACGAAAGCCAGTTTGTTGTAATGTTTAAGAAATCAGACTAGAAAATGAAAGATTGTTAATTCTACCTCTGCGTTAAGTATCCACCCAGCTAGATGACTTTGGATTGTTGCTCTCTCTCAGCCCAAGGCAGGAGACAATGGCAATCCACTTCAAGAAATATTATCTAGAACAGGGGTCGCCAACCTTTTGGACCTCAGGGTCCATCAAACTCATAATTTTAGATCCCGGGGACCACGAACTGGTTCTGTGGGTGTGGCCTAATTTGTGGGTGTGTCTTGGTGGTCAGGTGACTGGTCGGGCATGGCTTGTATATAAATATAAGTATTTATATAATTATTGAATTTTTTATAAAGAAAGAGCAACTTTTACCCAAAATCAGACAAAGCAGGCAGATTGAGTTGCACACAGAATAACAGATTCATTCACAGATCTATCTGCCACTGGCTAGCTCAGTCTGTCACATAAAATTTGCCAGCAAGCAAACTCACAAAATTAACTCACAACATACCATCCATGTAAATATTGAATTTTTTATTTTTAAAAAAGAGCAACTTCTACCCTAAATCAGGCAAAGCAGGCAGATTGAGTTGCTTACAGAATCATTCAGTGATCTATCTATCTGCCATCAGCTAGCTCAATCTCTCAAATTTGCTTGCCATGAGTCTGCACTGAATTTGCTTGCAAGCAAACCTTCAGTCCTAAGGGAGGTTCTGTGCTGAGCCGAAGATCTAAAGACTAGCTAGAAAGCAATAAATCCAACCATTTCCTGCTTCCTAGCTAATCTAAATCTCCCGGCACAGCAGAACAGATGATGGTTGGAAAAAATAAAAATAGCAATTTAGCAGGCAAGTTTACCAGGTAAGGAGTGAGTGGGTGGGGAGAGTTCCTGCTGGCCATGTGGGCGGTGCAGCCTTGTGTTTCTGCTCAGCCTGGATTAATTACTTTGGGGGGGGGTGCTCTGGGGGTGAGATTTCTCGGCGGCCCACCAAAATTTTCTCATGGCCCACCAGTTGGCAGCCACTGGTCTAGAAAACTATGAGGATTCATCCAAGCAGTCTCCAGATATCAACACTGGCAGAAAGACACACATACGCCCCAAAAGGGGAAATAGAAAACATGCACCTCATGCTTGCACATGAGATGTGCAGGACTGGTGGCACAGCAACTACTTAGATGAAACACTAACAATACAATAAGTTAGAAACTGTAAGGCTAACTGTAGACACCAATGTATTAATTTTGACGGAAAGGAACTAAATCAGGAGAGAGATAAGTATACGCCTAATTCTGCCAATAGAGGCCAGTAAGCCTTCAGGAATCTTAACCAATAGTTTCAAATCAAATTAACTAAATGATAATAGTATTAATTGTCTCTGGTATATATAATTAGCTTTATGGAAACCTCAGCAATTAGAAAATACATTTAGATAGATTGGCTTACCTTACATAATTTATCTTCCTGAACAGCATGAGGAGGCGTCTGTGCTAAATTTATTTGCCAAAGATCAATGTTAATTAGATGCCTTTTACAGAATCTGAAGTATCTTCTGCCCTATTTACGTCTTTACACTATAATTTTTTTTAAATATGTATATTATGACAGCAAAATGATAACCATGGTCCTGTATAATTTAAAGTAAACAGGTTTTGCCAATTATTGTGCATCCTGTTTTCTTTGACATGCCTCCATCTGCCACTGCTGTCTAACATGTGGGAAAATGCATAATTTTTACAGTAACTTTTATGTCTTCATTCACTCATCTTTTTTTTTCCTCTCTCCCAAATTTCAGAAAGAAAACGTTTCACCCATAGGATGCTTTGGAGCCTTTGACTTATCATTCACTGAAAAAAGCCTGAATGTGACCTTTGGCTAGCATGAAGCCAAGCCTCCCTCAAATTTGACTTCTTCCAGATGTGTTGACTTCAAGTTACAGAATCCTCAATAAGGTCATGC